TCCTCCCCTCAGCATCGCTCTCTTTCATCAGACGTGTCATCAGAAGGTCCTGATGCTGCAGCCTTCCTGTTCCTCCCCTCAGCATCGCTCTCTTTCATCAGACGTGTCATCAGAAGGTCCTGATGCTGCAGCCTTCCTGTTCCTCCCCTCAGCATCGCTCTCTTTCATCAGACGTGTCATCAGAAGGTCCTGATGCTGCAGCCTTCCTGTTCCTCCCCTCAGCATCGCTCTCTTTCATCAGACGTGTCAGTAATGTCTGCCTCCGTGATTAAAAACCAAACCTCGGTTACGCAGAGCTGCCTGGAACCGAGACGACGCGTCCTTTTATTACAGGCGGAGAGGATGAGAAACAGGATCCAATTATTCTTGGAGGCGGCGGCGGCGCTGATGGACGGCGTGTCCACAGCGGCAGAGACGCTCCAAGGTGTCCCTAAAGCAGGAACGTGACTGCTGGCCCCCCCCACTGGGAATAGAATCCTTCCTTTAAACCTGCTGGTGAGGAACCGTTAGCCGAACACAGAGGAGACGCGGTTTCCATGGTACCAGGTTGGGGTGGGTGGAGAAAGAACATCAGACTGTCCATCTCCTCCATCCAGACCAGAACCAGAACCAGTCCAGGGTCCGTCTGCCACAGACCGTCAGCAGAGCTAATAAACATCTGAGCCGTAGAAGGAGACCTCCTCTGGCCTCCTCCAGGTGGTTCTCCTCCTAGGGCTCCTCCAGGTGGTTCTCCTCCTAGGGCTCCTCCAGGTGGTTCTCCTCCTCTGGGCTCCTCCAGGTGGTTCTCCTCCTAGGGCTCCTCCAGGTGGTTCTCCTCCTAGCTCCTCTGCTCTCACCGTTCTTTAAAAGCAACACAGGAAGACAGAAACGGTCTGCAGGGAGGTGCTGCAGTCTTTAGGGTGGAGCTAAGAAGCTGAGCCTCCTTCTTCTCCTCCAGCAAGGACCGGAGGAGGAGGATGGAGTACCTGGAGAGGAGCAGCGAGATATCGCCTCCTTTACTGGGAGGATCCAAAGCAACGAGGCAACCTGCTCACAAGATGATGGAGCTCCTGCTGCTCCTCATGCTCCTCCTGCTCCATGAGATCAGCCAAGGATAGAGATGGAGCTTTAAATGCAGAAGTTAAGCTCCTCCTCCTCCACTGAAGCCCCGCCTCCAGCTTTAGGTCCAGCAGTGGGAGTTCACCTGTGAGATGAAGACCATCAGCACAGACCTCAGCAGCAGAGGATGGATCAGAGGAACATTCATGATCAGAGGAGCGACCAGCTCTGGGGTCAGAGGTCACCTCCACATGCAGCAGATCAAACAGGCAGAGGAGCCTCGATCACAGATGGACGGCTCCTGATGAGGCTGACGTGACAGCGGGTCGCGGCAGGGCGGCGGTGGCGGCGGATGAAGACAGACGCGTCCCTTTGACTGCGGGAGAGAATCTGCAGCTGGAGACCAGCCGGAAATGAAGAGCGGGTGAGAAAGAGACGGCAGAGGGGGGAGGAAAAAGGAAGAGAGGCTGACAAAGACCAGCTGCAGGCGGCGACACAAAGAGAAGAAAGCTGAAAAAGTTTTTAATGATGGAGAAACGGAAACGCCAAGAAGGAGGCGGAGCGCTGCGCCGCACCGACCCCAGTGACTGATCTCTACACGTCAATTAGAGGCAGAAGATAACGAGCCGAACGCCGTGACCCACAGAAAGGAAGATGGAGAGCGAGGAAAGACAGGCGAGGACTCGTCCCTGGATCTGGGCTCAGTGCACACCTGATGTGCACCATTACGCATTTCACTGGTCGTTCTCGTGTCCTGGTGAAACATCAGCAGCACCGTTTCAGTTCACTAGAACAGACACAGTCCCCGGATGTTGTTC